TATATATTATAACATGCTATTTCACCTTTTCTATTGTCTTGGAATCGACAATTGCTAAGAATTCATAGTGTTATGACAGGGTTCAGCTCTACTGGTCCAGCTTTAACTCCGGTACAAGTGTTGGTTGCAATACATGAAATGTTCCTGAGAGAGATGGCCTTGCACTGAAAAAGCATGTCTCTTGTCATTCTGAACTTAATGGTCTTGGAACTTTACACTTTGGTTGCTGTGATGGTGATCTATAAACTACACATTCAGATCATACTTATTCTTTCCATCACTTTGGTCCGTAACTGTTTTTATCCTTTTCACCTAATGGATTGATTTTGTAATATGATGTGCTAAGGCCGGAGAAAGCTTGTCCTAATTGTACACAGAGAAATATTCAAACTGGAATGCGGTTCCCTAGGTTGGGCTTGGTAGAGTAATTAGTAGAATTTTGGGGTTTGCCGATTGAAGCCAACCTATTTCAACCATCGTTGCTTAGTCCAAGCTAAGGCTGGATTGGTGTCGCTTTAGATTGTTTAAGTTCTGATTAAATAATAATGTCATTATGTTTGCTATGTTTGAGGAAAACACTAATTGTGTGCTTTTGGATCTATGTTAATCTTTTACTGTTTTTGAGGAAAGAAATATACACAGATGCAGAGACGATGAGAGTAGAGGAGAATGGGCAATGTACGTATCAAACTTTTTTTAGTTATAGATGTGTTTCATTGCTCTTTTTTAGGTATAGAGTTTTCATGATGCCAAGGCGTTAATGAGGGAAAAAAATATGTATTAAACTTTTGTTGAATGATATACTACTATTGTGAATTTCGTTTTTAATTAGTATGATTCAAAGATTGTTGAATGTGTTAATTTATTTATGAATTGTGATAATTGTTGTTGGCTTAGGAATATTATGAAGAATTTCATTGTATTATTTTATTATTTAATTGGTAATAAATTACAAAATAAAAATATTTAAAAAAATATATTACAAAAAAATCCTTGACATTTTTAAGACTAAAAGTGGAAAATTATTATTATAAAAATGATTATTATTATTATCTTAAATTAAATTAATTAATTAATTAATTTTTTTTTGGTTAAATATCGACAGTTCGAAGAATGTTAATGATTGGTTAAAATTTGGTTAAATCCTTAACGGGTAATAATGTCAGAGATCTATTAAGAAATTATTGACAGTTTAAGAACGATTACCATCCTTTTTGAAATTGGCTTCAACGACGGTGAAGAATTGTTAAGAACCTCTTCTTGACAGATATACCAGTTAAGAAAGGGGGTTTTTTTAGTAGTGTGAGAATTCATGCATATTTGGTCATTATTCTAATAGTTTTTAGATAATATTTTGGAAAAAATTAAATATGGGTGGGTATACGTGTAAGATTTGGAAATTAACAAAAATATCCCCTATGTTTGTTATTTACTAAACACCCCATATAAAATGTTGAAAGTTAACAAAAATACCCCCAACCCACCCATTAAATATGGACAGCCGGCCACCACCGGAGGATGGTGGTGGAGTATTTTTGCAATTTCTAAAAAAATATTTGGGGGTGTTTAGTTAAATTAACAAAATTAAGAGGTTTAAAAGAAATTGAAAAAATAGAATAATATTTGGGAATAATGACATTTTACTGTTTAACTTTTGGAAATAATAATAATAGTATTCCCAAAAGCGAAACAAACGAAGCCATCTTTTTTTTGTTGAGAATAGATATAACTATGAAATGGTAGCATTTAAATAACAAGAATGTATTATATAATTTAAACATTCTGGAATTTCATGAACTCTCTCTCTTTTTTTTGCTAAAGCTAGAAAGAAACTGTATTTTTTTTTTTTTAAGTCAGATGATTTGGTATTTCTCGTTAATAGCATTTGTTTGTTGCATCCTTATGCATCGAAATAGCTCTCTACGCTTAATTTGACACGAATGTTCTACAATGCATTGTGATATAGTAATTTGTGTAAAAGATGCCATAGAGTCAAAGCTAAATTCAAAATACCGTGTGCAAGTCAAGGCAAAACCGCAAAGGATGACAAGTCTAATTTGGCCATGACTTTCAAAATACCATTTCGATACAGTAATCAAAATTCAAAATACAGTTCTGTATCTACATTGTCCACCCATCTAACAGTTTATGACCCACCTAGTTAGAATTTGAAGACGTGGCAAGCAGATAAGAAGGAAATCAATGGTATTATCAATGAGTAATCAATAAATTTTAAACCAAAATCTTGAGGGAAACTAGCAACATTAAGTGAAGCCCAGTAGCTCACCTCCCACATTGCGCAAGCAAAATCACAGTCAAATAGAACTCTTACATGCATTTCATCAAACATGTTTTATACATAAATCAATCCATCAACATAACAAATCAAGAATCCAATTAAAACACCAAGCCAACCCCTACTACTACTACTCACACACTAGAACAAACACAAGCAATCCACTCCACCAACATACAAGATTCAAAGAGAGTTAAAAAGAGAAGAGATGAAGTGTGAACCTTGAGGCTTGAAGTCTTGGAAAAGAGAGTTAAAAAGAGAAGGGAAGAAGAGATCAAGACTCAAAAGAGAAGAAAAGAGATCAAGATTCAATGATACGGCTGTTTTTTGTTTGATTTCATTTGATAATTGATATTTGATAGTTGAAGAAGAGACGAAGAGAAGACCAAACAAGAGGAGATTTCGTTTAATCTGACAAAAACCCCCCTAAAACGGCGTTGTTTTCCCTATCAAATAATGAATTTTTGTCCACAAAAATATGATCTTATAGTTCGTGAATAATTCGACTGGGACATATAATTCACAAATTATATGGCTGCCCAAATAAAATACGTGAATTCACTTTTTATACGCGAATTTACTAATTAGGTATATAAACACACAATCAATATTCTGAAAACCGGACCGGACAATGACCCGTTCAAGGGTCCGGTTTCCTATTGGATAGGTCGGTTGGGCCGTAATTTATAAAATTACCTTTTAGTCCTTGAAGGTTTGAAATTCATAAAAAACACCCATACAACACTCCCTTAAGATTTGAAATCTATCTAAAACACCCCTATTGCTCAAAGATTTTGGTGAGTGGTGGCGGCAGCAACGATCGACGACCAATCGAAGCTGGAATCTTCGGGCTTTTGATGTGTAGGTGCCGACGACTCTGATGGTGGTGCCAAGGAGTTCCATTGGCATCGGAAATTGTCGGAATCAACAAAAGAAGTCTGACGGTCGCGTGAAGTTTAGGTGCACGACGAGCGATGATGGCTGGACGACGGCCACTGAAAATGGCAGGTTTTTGTAGTGGAGATGCCGTCAAGTCTAATAGTGGTGATTTCTCTCTCGATCGGTGTCAGAATCCGGCGGGATTCAACTGTGATTAGACGGCAATTCGGCACTATTCCGGCAGTCCAACCGCGGTCCAATCCTGTTTAAATGCAATTAACAGTTTTTGAAGTATTCTGGACTGGAAATGCCGCAGGTCACCGGTCGAACCGGTCCGACCGGATGGTCCAGTCTGGTTTTCAGAACATTGCACACAATCAAAACATCTTCATTCTTGATCTTGCATAAAGAGCATGCTCAAGAGGGCGTTTGGTGAAACCGTTCTCTTGAAAATACCCATCAATATGGCTATTCCATGCCCGAAGTGCTTGTTTCAATCTATAAAGAGCTTTGTTCAACTTCAAGACTTTGTCTTCTTGCTCTTTCCCTTCATAGCCCAACGATTGTTTACTGTAAACTTCTTCTTCGAGTACTCCATTCAAAAAACTAGACTTTACATCCATATGATGAATCTTCAACTTATTTTGAGCTGCCAAAGAAATGATTACTCCTATGGTTTCTAAGTGAGCAATGAGAACACATACCTTATCATAGGCAATGCCAACTCTTTGACAATATCCTTTTGGTACGAGCGTCGCCTTGTATCTTTTGATCTCTCCTTTCGCATTCTTCTTTGTTTTGTAAACCCACTTAACTCTTATCGCCTTGTATCTTTTAGGAGATGAATATGTTCCCACATGTCATTATTCACAATTGCTTTGATTTCTTCGTCCATTGCATCTCTCTACTTCTTGACTTGCACTACTTCTTGGAAATTCATAGGTTGGCAATCGACAAAGAGACAAAACAAAGAGTTCCCAACACCTAAGGGGGTTTATTTGTTTTCGGCAAACCTCGACAATATTTAATACTAATCCCTTAAAACAAATAGTAAATACAAGTGAAGTGACCATAAACCTTNCCTTTTTTTTTTTTTTTTTTCATGAAGGCAAAGGTTTAGGGTTATAAAATATTAAAATATACAATAAAATAAAATAAACAACAGTTTGTTTCATTATTTTGGATAAGATTTTTGATATTTTTAGAGTTGGGTGAGAATAACGAGGTAAGATTTAAAAATTAATAAAACAGCCCTCTAGATTTGCTAATTTACTGAACACCCCAATATATAAAATTTTTATAAAATGACAAAACTATCCCCACCCACAATTGCCAGATTCAAGCCACCATCGTCGGAATCTGGCATTACGGTGCACGAATGGTCGGATCTAGCCGTTCGTGTGCTGATATGACATTTTCTGGCCAGACCCACTACGGATTTGATTGGAAAAGGTTAGATCTACGACTATTTTTGGCTGTCGATAATCAAATCTGGCCATCAGCGACGACCAAAGATGGCTGTCGTTGACAACCAGCTACAACCAAAGATTAACAGCCAGATCTTTGATAGTAGATCTAGCATTTTTCCGTACATTATCGGTCAGATCCAGCTCATAGTGTGTCATTATACCAGATTCTGGCTATCTTTTGATGGTGGTGGTCAAAATCTGATAAATGTAGATAGGTAGGAGTGTTTTTGTTAATTTTTAAATTTTTTTAAAGGTATTTAATTAAATTAATAAACTTAAGAGATTTAAAAATAATTGAATAAAATATAATAGTATTTTGATAATGATCAAACAGTTATTCTGGGGATAGGAATACATGTCAAATATGGAAACAAACGGACTTCCCCTAAAAACCAATTATCTACTGCCCAAAATTCTCCCGCCCAAAAACCAAATTTTTTTCCACTGAATCGCAGAATCTCTCTACAACGCTGATTCATTCTAAATCCAACTTCACGGCTCAAGGTGATTATTGTTGTCAATAATATTTTCAATTTAGGGTTTTAACTTTTAATTCTTTCTTTTCAACTTCATCACTCAAGGTGCTCTCTACAACGCTGATTGTTGTCAAACACTGATTTTGGTGGGAGAAAAGCTTTGGTTTCGTGGAGCTGTTGCATTTTTGTTACTTTTTGGATTTTATGTTGGAGAGAAGTAGAAGAATTTCTTAAAATGCTATTTAAGATGAGGATGATTTCTGTTCCCTTTGTTATTCAGAAACATGCTGATTTTGCAACCACGGGAATGTTATTGGCGAAGCGCTGTATTCATGCTACAGGTTTTTGTTGTATTTCTTCACCATTTTTTATGGGTGAGCATTCTATATTTGTTTGGTTCTTATTATTCTATTGTAATGTATTTTCAAGGATCTTGCTACTCCAATCAGCGAGACTACTACGAAGTTCTTGGTGTTCCTAAAAATGCGAGCCAGGATGAGATAAAAAAGGCGTTTCATGCCATGAGTATTTGAGCACTTAATATGCTTTTAAGTTAGGGAATTACATTTTAATCATAAGAAATCCCTTACTGTAGTGTAAAACATCTTCTGATGGATTGTTCTTTCTTTTCTGGCATCTTGCAATCACTGGTAGCTGTTCTTTATGGGGTCAGTGGCTTAATTTTTCCTTAGCTCTTTAAAATAGGTGGCTTTAGTGTTTGGGTGAAAACTATGTGGGCTATTTTTACTTTTAGGAATAGTTTTGCTTGTGGAATCCTTAATGGAACTTGGAAAGGCACACCGGAGATGCATCTAATTTTACTAGTACTATGAATCTAGGGGTATTTGAGGTTGGCAGCGTTGCCAGATATTTTTCTACCACTTATGCCATTGGGAAATCATGTCTGCACTTGGTTAAGTGATTATCCATCATCTAACAGACCTTTTTTTTTATGGCTATTGTCTAAGATGTTGGCATCCACAAAATTGTGCAGCTTGCCAGAAGTATCATCCAGATGCAAATAGAGAATACCTTTTGCAAAGAGTGAATTTCAAGAGATAAGAGTGCTTATGGGTTGTAGCTTTTGGATTGATTGTAAGTCCAATATAATAATAATAATTATTTTATTTTGATGTGTGATATAGTCGATAGTTGTGTTTTCTCTGTCCATTAGCATAATGATTGTTAATTTCTGTCTTCCTACTAAAAATATAACTGATCTTGTTCTGACATGGTCCAACTAGCTCCAATTCTCTTATGATGATTTGCTCATTTGGATATATGCAGATTCGCAAGATTCTAGAGAGGGCTCAGTATGACATGGTAACTACTCTTTTTCTTCTTTCTCCCTCTTCTTTTTTTCATTTATTATGTATTCTTTCACTTCTTATTTGTGATTCTATAGTCATTTAGGTATCTTTGGTCTGTCTTTAGTATTGTTCGGTGTTTTTACAGGAAGGCACTTTATTTTACATATTAAAGATTTCAAAATGTATGCATTTTGATTCTTGTGTCACATAAAGGTTTCAAATTAACTGAATCATTTTTTTTTTTATCCTTATGATTAAAGGGAGGGTGAAGTAGAGGCTCGGAGATGTAGACTATAATACTGGTGGGTGCAGAGGGGTTTAGATATCTTATCAAACTCATTTCTCTGGTTCTTTCCATAAATTTCTTTGAGGGTACTTCTCCTCTCCTGTTTTCATGGTTTTCATCTTAATGTAGTTACTATCCTAAACTGTATATGAATTTAGGGGAAGTGGTGGGCATCAAAAAACAGTTTATATCAAGAATCACCAATAATGTCTACTATTAGGTGGCAGTGTTATTGGTTTGTTTTGCGTGGAAGATCACCACATCCTGATGAGTAGGTTATACTATATTTTCTATTGACTTTTCTTCCATATTTCTGGTTAATTCTATAAGAAAAGTATATGTTCTGTGACTATTTTTGATTGTACTATAAGAAAACAATATTTTTGAAATATTAAGCTTGGATTATAATGTGTTAGTCAACTTAAAAACTATAATTGGATATATTTGGTAGTAATTTATGAAGTTTGGCAGTAAAAAAACACTAGGGCATTTCGCGAGAAATATGGAACGAGATCTGTTGTTGTCTCTAATATGATCTGTTTCCAGTTACTGATTGATTGTATTGCTTGGAATAAATTATGTTAATTGCATAAAGTAGCATTACTGAATATTGTTTCGTTTTAATTTATGGATGTCAAATTCAATAATACAATCACAGGTCTAATAATTTTATGATTCAGGTTGCTACCTATTTCCCTCGCCTTTTGGCCTTCCATTAGAAAATTTCCGATGACCTTCCTCACATACTACAGGTGGTGCATGAATTCTCTTGACGTGGACTTCATAATTTGGTTTGGGTTCTGTTGGAATTGTTAAGACATTCAGGGACCCACTTGTTTTTGCCTACTTATTATAAGTGGTTGTCAATTGTTTGTTATGTAATCCTTCTCAAGAAAAAAATAAAGCTACTCTGGTTGATTTTCTGATAGGAGGTAAATTATTATGATTGATTTAAGTCACAGATTCAAATCAGCTAAAGTTTTAGATTAATATTCTCTTGACGTGACTTCATAATTTGCTGTTGGGTTCTGTTGGAATTGTTAAGACATTCAGGGACCCACTTGTTTTTGCCTACTATTATAAGTGGTTGTCAAAATGCGTTGTTATGTAATCCTTCTCAAAGAAAAAAATAAGCACTCTGGTTGATTTTCTGATAGGAGGTAAAATATGATTGATTTAAGTCACAGATTAAATTCAGCCTAAAGTTTGAGATAATATGTAAGGAGTGTTCTGACTTCCTCAGAAGAATGGATGCTTAGTTAATATATGTTAGACATGTGAACAAATTGCTGCTTTGTCTGTCATGCGATAGTGGCATGAGAGTTTGGTAGTTATTGTTAAAGCTAGAGTTCCAAGCCAATTTTTGTGCTTTGATTTCTCGCTATTTCTCTTTGCTTGCTTTCTAATTTCAAACAGTGAACTGCTTTAGTTCATTTTGGGCGATCTTGGTAGTTTTTCTTTGTGCGGAATTATTAAATGCTATAATGTTTTCACGTCATTTTGCCTTCCCCTTTGACTTGGAATCATGAAATGCTAAGAGGTCAATTGTTAATGGCGGGTTTTAATTGCTATATATTATAACATGCTATTTCACCTTGTTCATTGTCTTGGAATCGACAATTGCTAAGAATTCATATTGTTTATGACAGGTTCAGCTACATGGTCCAGCTTTAACTCCGGTTACAAGTGTTGGTTGCAATACATGAAATTGTTCCTGAGAGAGGATGGCCTTGCACCTGAAAAAGGCATGTCTTGTCATGAACTTAATGGTCTGGAAACTTTACACTTGGTTGACTGTGATGGTGATCTATAAACTACACATTCAGATCATACTTATTTTCCATCACCCTCTTGGTCCGTAACTGTTTTATTCCTTTTCACCTAATGGATTGATTTTTGTAATATGATTGCTAAGGCCGGAGAAAGCTTGTCCTTAATTGTACACAGAGAAATATATCAAACTGGAATGCGGTTCCCAGGTTGGGTTGGTAGAGTAATTAGTAGAATTTTGGGGGTTTGCCGATTTGAAGCCAACCTATTTTCAACCATCGTTGGTTAGTCCAAGCTAAGCTGGATTGGTGTCGCTTTAGATTGTTTAAGTTCTGATAAATAATAATGTCATTATGTTTGCTATGTTTGGAGGAAAACACTAAATTGTGTGCTTTTGGATCTCTGTTTAATCTTTTACTGTTTGTTGAGGAAAGAAATATACACAGATGCAGAGATCGATGAAGTAGAGGAGAATGGGCAATGTAGTATCAAACTTTTTTTAGTTATAGATGTTTCATTGATCCTTTTTTAGTTATAGAGTTTTCATTGATGCCAAGGCGTTAATGAGGGAAAAAAAATAGTATTAAACTTTTGGTTGAATGATATACTACTATTGTTTGAATTTCGTTTACGTATTAGTATGATTCAAAGATGTTGAATGTTTAATTTATTTTGAATTGTGATAATTGTTGTTGGCTTAGGAATTTATGAAGAATTTCATGTATATTTATTATTTAATTGGTAATAAATTACAAAATAAAATATTTAAAAAAAATATTTACAAAAAAAATCCTTGACATTTTAAGACTATCAATGGTGGAAATTATTATTAATAAAATTTGTTATATATATATTCTAAATTAAATTAATTAATTAATAATTTTTTTTTGGTTATAAAATCTCGAAGTTCGAAGAATGTAGAATGATTGGTTAAAATTTGGTTAAATCCTTACGGGTAATAATTGTCAGAGATCTATTAAGAAATTATGACAGTTTAAGAACGATTACCATCCTTTTGACATTGGCTTCAACGCGGTGAAGAATTGTTAAGAAACCTTCTTCTTGACAGAATACAGTTAAGAAAGGGGGTTTTTTTAGTTGTGTGAGAATTCATGCATATTGGTTCATTATTCTAATAGTTTTTAGAATAATATTTTGGAAAAAAATTAAATTGGGTGGGTATTACGATGTAAGATTTGGAATAATAACAAAAAATCCCCTATGTGTTTTATTTACTAAACACCCCTTATAAAATGTTGAAAGTTAACAAAAATCCCCCAACCCACCATTAAATATGGACAGCCGGCACCACCACGGAGGATGGTTGGAGTATTTTTGCAATTTCTAAAAAAAATATTTGGGGTGTGTTTAGTTAAATAACAAATTTAGAGGTTTAAAAGAATTGAAAAATATAGAATAATATTTTGGGAATAATGAATTTTACTGTTAACTTTTTTGGAAATAAATAGTTCTCCAAAAGCGAAACAAACGAAGCCATCTTTTTTTTGTTGAGAATAGATTATAACTATGAAATGGTAGCATTAAATAACAAGATTGTATTATATAATTTAAACATTCTGGAATTTCATGAACTCTCTCCTTTTATTTTGTCTAAAGCTAGAAAGAAACTGTATTTTTTTCTTTTTTAAGTCAGATGATTTGGTATTTCTCGTTTAAAGCATTTTGTTTGTTGCATCCTTATGCATCGAAATAGCTCTCTACGCTTAATTTGACCGATGTTTACAATGCATTGTGATATAGTAATTTGTGTAAAAGATGCCATAGAGGTCAAAGCTAAATTCAAAATACGTGTGCAAGTCAAGGCAAAACCGCAAAGGATGACAAGTCTAATTTGGCCATGACTTTCAAAATACCATTTCGATACAGTAATCAAAATTCAAAATACAGTTCTGTATCTACATTCCACCCATCTAACAGTTTATGACCCACCTAGTTGAATTTGAAGACTGGCAAGCAGATAAGAAGGAAATCAATGGTATTATCAATGAGTAATCAATAAATTTTAAACCAAAATCTTGAGGGAAACTAGCAACATTAAGTGAAGCCCAGTAGCTCACCTCCACATTGCGCAAGCAAAAATCACAGTCAAATGAACTCTTACATGCATTTCATCAAACATGTTTATACTAAAATCAATCATCCCACATAACAAATCAAGAATCCAATTAAAACACCAAGCCAACCCCTACTACTACTCACACACTAGAAAACAACAAAGCAATCCACTCCACCAACATACAAGATTCAAAGAGGTTAAAAAGAGAAGGATGAATATGAAGGTGAACCTGAGGCTTGAAGTCTTGGAAAAGAGAGTTAAAAAGAGAAGGGAAGAAGAGATCAAGACTCAAAAGAGAAGAAAAGAGCAAGATTCAATGATACGGCTGTTTTTTGTTTGATTTCATTGATAATTGATATTTGATAGTTGAAGAAGAGACGAAGAGAAGACCAAACAAGAGGAGATTTCGTTTAATCTGACAAAAAACCCCCTAAAACGGCGTTGTTTCCCTATCAAATAATGAA